ATTTCTAAGGGTAAGAACTCTATATTTACAGCTATATATATATATACCACTAATGTAGTAGTTTTTGATACCAAACAAAATAATTGATCACCAATAAACAGTTAATTGTGTAAAAGCTTCTACTTAATCCAAGAATAGATGTGGGTGAAATAACGTGTACAAGACTTTGCCCAGACATACAGAAAGACAGACTGACCGAGTAAGCTGATATAAGCTTCAAACAAAGCTAAAACACATGACACCATAAGCCTTTTAGATCGTATGGTCTCAAAAAGAAACTTTAATTTACTTTTACTATAATTCACTACCTGCAGTAAGGTAAAATAAGGTTTCCCTTTCAGGCCTTGCGGTCTATAGGGAAGATGATGTAAAAGCAATCTGTTTCTGTGGACTGCGGATGACGAGGGTGTCATGTGGCCAGCACAACGAACAACTGCCTTTACTTTTCCCTAACTAATGTCAGGCACCCATTAGCGATGGGTGGACTCAGAGGCGCCCGAAGATCACGAAATTAAAAATCCCAGTCTTCACCTGGATTCGAACCGGGGACCCCGGAACGGAAGTCAAGCGCCTTACCGCACAGCCACCGAGCCTCCTACTAGCTATGGACTCTTTTCAAAAACTTAAATATCTACCCTTATATGTCCATTCACAATGTAAATTCCTATAAGTGCTCCATCACACAAGATTTACATGACTAATACACGTAAATCTACTTATCTGACACGGGAAACACAGAACTTGATAAAATAAGAGCCGGATATACGACTGTGCATTAGCCCAGGCCTGATCTCTTAAAGGGGAGCCTCCACCAGCTTTTAAATAAGCAAAGTATGACCAAAAGATGGATTACTACAGTCAATAAATAATGAGTCCATGTATTATTACTATTGCATTACTTGAGATCATTTTGCTTGAAATCCTCAAAACAGGTTAAGGGCCTACAAAAAAACAACACTGGCGATGGACTCCATTTACTTAAAGTTGTGAATTTCTTCTCGTATATGTTCCTTGTTGAATCGTCCACACTTCCATCACGCTGCCCAGTGTTTTTTGTCTGGTCAAGCCATAACACTTGACCTGTAGGAAGTCGCTGATATACATGAAAGCTTTCTTTGCCAGCTCTAAAAGTCTTCTACGGAACAGCCTGTTGCTCAGAAAGTAGATGTAGAAGTTGACAGCGTGGCATGAGTCAGACATGGCGAAGAAGATTTGCTCCAACAGCCTGGAAAACATAAAAAATTATTCAATGACTTTTAGAGGTGGCCTAAACAAAAATGTGAGAAAATAGGAACGTTTATTTTATAGAGGAATTGGGAGATATGTCGGAAGTGTTTCGTAATCGTCTTTTTAAAGGCTCGCGACAAGGTGGATTGGCGTTACCCAATATATTGACGTAGTTTCCATCTAGGTTTACGTATTTTCTTACTAGATTGACGTATTTTCCTACTAGATTGACGTATTTTCCTACTAGATTGACGTATTTTCCTACTGGATTTAATTATTTTCCTACTAGATTTACGTATTTTCCTATTTTATCTATTAGATCTTCGTATTTTTCTAACAGATTTACATATTTTTCTAATAGACTTACGTATTTTTCCTAATAGATTTGGCAGCAGTGGCTCGGACGACACTTTTAGTGGTGTCCGAGTGGAAACATTAAAAATATAATACAAATCGGATAATTTTGAATCGAAACAAAGCTCCGGATAATGTGCCAATGTACTGGAGGCGTTGACAATTTTAGACACCGTTTTTACATGAGGACATTTTCCCAGTGACGAACACCCTTACGGAAGATGTAATATAGTTACAGAACATGAAAGTCTCTCGGAACGGTTGCCATCTTCGGCCTTCCTTCCTACCGAGACAGATTTAGGATTGGATCCTCCAAAACAAAGAGTTTTACTAAATTCGCATCTCGAAGGAACACATTTAGAGAGAAAGATTTCTTTCATTCAGACAGACAGATTTCTTTTGAAAGACAGGAGAAGATGTGTTAACATTCAGAAAGGTGAAGCGGTCGTTTGGCCTACACTTTCATTTACTCATAACTTTCACACAATCCAACATTTCGACAATGTCATTTGACATTATCTGTTCCAGAGCCGGCCTTAAAGAATCGGAAGCCCTTGGCGAAGTGGGTTCTATTCCTTAACTACGTCGCTCTGACCAGGCGTCTGTCTAACTGTGCGGCGGTATCTTCTGAAGAAGAGATGAATAACTTCCACCCCTTTTCATTTGTTGAGTCCATCACATTGATTGACAAGGGACCAGGTTACTAGTAAAAGCGGCCCGCGGTCTTTCAAATAAAATCACGATGACCAGTTGATCGTCTGAAAGACATGAACACATACATCTACCCACTATACCACCCAGATTGCATTTTACTTTGAGAGATTTACATAAATCAATTACTTATTCTATGTTGACCATTCCCCACCCCCGCCCCTTAACAGTAGGTGGCTCGTGATACACATACACACACAAACACACTTATATCTGTGTTTGTGATTGGCCTATCTGTTAATAAATGCTATCTAACTTTAACTCGCCAAATCATTCGTCATATTCTACTATCCGGACAAATCCGGCTCCGGCCAAATTTTAAAAAAAGTACTAACTATCCGATGCAACACTGATATACGATATATATAAATATATATAACAAATATATATATATATATTGTTGTAACTCCGCTCCCTCGCCACACTGATTGTGCGCATGATAGCACCATTGAACACGAGAAGCCATGTTGATGTAAGACAGGAAGAAGGACTATTGTGGATCCGGCAGGAGTGATCTGCACGTTATTGGAGTCTGGGCTGTCTTGACTCGAGAGAACGTCCTTGCTGTTATCCATTAACTGTGTTGAGGACCTGGGGCGGCACTGGGAAGTGGTGGTCGGTGGTCTGTATTGATAGTTAGGTAGCAATGGAGTGGTGTCACTTGAGATAGGACATTCTGGGACTTGATGGCTGAGATCCATGCTTGTCTGTACTTATATAATAAATACCTAGTTTATTGTTACCTCCTGACGTTCGTTGAGTGCCTACCTTAGAGTTACAACAATACTAGAAGACTAACCGTATTATACACGACTAGCCTGATTATATATATTTAGAGACTGCGCGAGAATCATTTTGCTATTACAGTGAATTTTAAATTCGAATTTTTATACACCGATATTCATTTATCATAGAGCTTATATCACAACCAGCATTCATTGAGGCTTCATAATATTTTTTACGCAATGCCGAAAACACATATATAGTAGATTATATACTTATGACAAAGAATGATTTATACCAGACATTACTAAAGATATTACAAATTGATTTCTGAGAATGGAACTGCAAACCTTGAATAAGACTTCTGTTTGACCTCATCCCATTTCATTTCCACAAAGTAGTACAAAGGCCGGGGGGTGACTAGGAGGCTGAATATAACACACGCCACAATTGTCGTGACTGTAATATTTTGATTGAATCTTTTTCGCTTGATTAGAGCCGGCATTTGAATACTGAACCGTCTTTCCTGTGTTGTATAAAAAAGCAAATGGTGTATTAGTGATTGAAACGTTGCTGTTCCAGCAAGATGACATACATTACGGTAGAGAGGCAAATAGTTCCAGGAGTATTCTATCAGCCTAGCTATCACGCAATACAAAAAAAAAAAAGGACAAGCCTACAGTTGTATTTTTTTTTTTTGCCTATTAAATGGTCACAACAGAATGAGACATAGCGTACAGTTGTATTTTTTTTTTTTTTTTGCCTATTAAATGGTCACAACAGAATGAGACATAGCGTACAGTTGTATTTTTTTTTTTTTTTTTTGCCTATTAAATAGTCACAACAGAATGAGACATAGCGTACAGTTGTATTTTTATTTTTTTGCCTATTAAACGGTAATAACAGAATGAGACAGCACATATTCCAGAAGCTGATAATTGAAATTTGTCCTTGTGGTCTTCCTTTTTTATATACACGAATCAATCCAAAAGTAATTCAATAAGTATTAACTGCATGTAGTAAATCCTTTTATGTTTAAGTAAGAAATGTGTAAATAAAAAAAAATGGGTTATATGTTTCGGATGTTACTTCAGATTGGAAGACAAGTTCACCCTAACCCAAATCTCTAGCAGCACGACGGCGAGTGGTGAAGGGGGGGGGCATCGGGCGTGGCTCACCTCGGTACCATCTAGACCTCTAAACCACAGTTAAGAGCGAATACTGTATGACCAGGCAGCCGCCTTACAGTGATAATAATAATGGATTTATTCTTTGCCCCTCGTGGTATGGGATGTAGTATATAACTCTAGTATATGGATTAGAAATATGAATAATCTATTAAATGAATCTGCTATATGAATCTAGTATATGAATCTAGTATATGAATCTAGTATATGAATCTAGTATATGAATCTAGTATATGAATCTAGTATATGAATCTAGTATATGAATCTAGTATATGAATCTAGTATATGAATCTAGTATATGAATCTAGTATATGAATCTAGTATATGAATCTAGTATATAAATCTATTATATGAATCTAGTATATAAATCTATTATATGAATCTAGTATATAAATCTATTAAATGAATCTAGTATATAAATCTATTAAATGAATCTAGTATATAAATCTATTAAATGAATCTAGTATATAAATCTATTATATGAATCTAGTATATAAATCTATTAAATGAATCTAGTATATAAATCTTTTATATGAATCTATTATGTGAAAAATAAACAAATTCAGCTAGGAGAAGAATTACGCCAACATGACAGCACTAGCGGATCCAGAACTTTGGAGTGGGGGGGGGGGGGGCGATTTTTTTTCAAACCCTAACCCTAACGCCAAGTAAACCCTAACCCTATGCATAAACGTGCGTACAGCGCGCACACACACACACACACAGACCCACACACACACACACCCACCCACCCACACACACACACACACACACAGACCCACACACACACACCCACCCACCCACACACCCACACACACACACACACACATATAATATATATTTATATGAGAATAAAAAAAGCAGTCTTTCTCAACCTTCGGCGAAAAACAAAACAACTGGGGCAGCGCTATAAGGTTTCCTAGTGGGGTTCGGGGCGAAGCCCCGACGACAAAAGCGTTTTCTTGCTTTTTTCACTGCTGAAAAGCATTCTCCTGACATCTACAGCTCGTTATATATCAATGGAGTTCGGGGCGAAGCCCCGACGACAAAAGCGTTTTCTTGCTTTCTTCATTGCAGAAACGCATTCTCCTGATATCTACAGCTCATTATTCATCAATGGAGTTCGGGGCAAAGCCCCTACTCCAAAAGCGTTTTCTTGCATTCTTCAATGCAGAAACGCATTCTCCTGACCTAAAGCTCATTATTCATACTATTAAAAAAAG